CATCCCTAATGTGGATTGACAGACAGGCTTCATTCCACTCACACAGAACCCRTCCAAATCCAAACAGAACCAACACAAGTCCCCAGAACACTTCTGAATCCTCTTTAGAAGTGCAGAGGGTCCCAATCCCAAAGCTTCCTCCGACCACAGGCAGATTCCACCCCAGCAGAAAGCTCCCACTCCAGACCTCCAAGCATTAAGGGGATGYCTGCTCCAGTGATTTGATTGGCACCTCTGTGTCTCTTAAACAGGTTTTTTTTGCCTCCTAATTCCTTTACAGGACTGTTAGCAAATTCCCATACCATCTGAGCCTGATCTAAGGAGTAAACAACAAAAATTAAATTAATATCATGCTCAGAAACATTTAGAAATTGTAGGCTAAGCAGCTGCCACTTATTCCTAGAAATTCAAAGTATTTTATTGAAGGAAGTTTTCCAATAACATATATCGATTTGGTCAGGTTTCTCCTTTTTTTTTTTTGCTTTTATTTTTAATCCAACCAACATATGTTATGTACTCTGTACTTGTAGACAGTTTCTTATTGCAGTGGTTCTGACTCCTGCAAACAGATGTTGAGGGAAACCAACTGCACACAACAYGGACAAAAGCTGTCTCAGACCAAAATCCTGTGTTAAGCAAGGTCTTGTRGGTAATGCAGTGTACTAAAAGCACTGATTATATATTTATATACAGAATTGATAGGTAGCTGAATTAATGTTTGCCTACATTTATTGAAATCATACTATTAAATAGGAAAATAAAACAAAACAACCAAATACTAAGAATTAGGTTAAAGAATGGCAAGTACCAAAGCTTCTAAAGTTCCAAAGTATTCACATAATTCACTTTGCCCAAAACCCAGATTCTAACTAATATCCTAATAGCAAGCTGAAATCACTTGACAGGYGATGAAGGGTTTGAAAAGGGATATTTTTAAACCACCCTTTGAAATAACAGAATGGCAAGTGATTCCCAGTCCCCAAACACAAAGTACTGAAGTATTATCCTGAGTCTGACAGACATGGCAGCAATTTGCTGTCATTTGTGTAATACCCACTCTTAGGGCTTAGCTTACACCAACACTTTCWCTAATAACAGAATTCAGTTCAATTTACTCTCTAAAATGACAAAGAAGTTAATTTTTTTACATTAAAAATCAACATTTCTCATCACCTGTACCCTTTGCCATTATGAGAATAATTAGATTTGTATGAAGTAGAATCAGTTCAGCACGTGACAACTGACATGAAACCCTTTGTATTTACTTTTTCTCTTGAATTTAATAACAGTGTTGCCTCAAATTAGCCAGTACAGGATTTAAGGCTTGGCTTAGCAAATATAATAAAAGGTATTTCTAACAAATATTGTTAGAATGCCCCTGTGGTTAATTTTGATGTATTTCTATCAGCTCAAGAACTCCTCTCTGGATAACCACAACAACAATCTTTTCTAACTTCAGGTATGGAAGTTTTGCTGCTTCTGAACCGGTATTCATCAAAAAATCTGCAATACATTACTTCTAATATGAAAAAGGAACTTTGCATTCCAGCAGCCATAAATAAGCTCATCTCCCCTCCCCATACAGAAACAACTTTCAAAATTTGACAGGAAAACCTATTTTCTTCCACACTCACTCTACAGAAAAGCGATTATACTCTGATACAAATATGTTATATAGACTGTCAAAGCAGTGAAAGAATTCTGCACTGAAGAAAAAAAAGAAAACCAAACCCATTCTGTAGGTATTTTCCAACTATTTATATTCTTAAAACAGGTAATAAAGAACATCAAAAAATATCACCATCTTTCCGAGTGGAAAGGGCAATTTTTCTATCCTAAACCCAAAGACACCACAGGATTAATTTATGATATAGACAAATAATACCAACCAGGGTTCACTTTTRTGCCAAAAATTAGATGGGGATTTCGTAAAGCACCAAATATTACAAAGCRTCATATCAGCCTTGTTTTTCAGTGGTGTTATTTGGCAGTCAGCTGGATCTAGAACAGCTGTTCTATTGTCTCTATTTCAATTCATTTTGAATTATCTCTGTTTTTCAATTCATGTACATTAAAAACAATATATTTAGCAATAGAACATTATTAAAGCAAAACCTATTTTGATTAGCACAAATTTGCATTATTTAAAACATTAATTTTGTGTATGCTTATGAACGCCTCCCAAGTATGGTAATAAAACTGAATATGAAAAAAGTCAGGGTTTTTTTTAATAAGATTCTACATGAAAAAAAAATTTAAAATACCACATAAAGCCTTAAAAGTGGCACCTGAGAGCATCTGGACAAAACACCTGCCAAGGTACATACCTGTAAATCTGTTGAATATTTTCAGCCTTGATTTCCTTGAGAATGTCACGGTAGATATGAGAATTATTTGGTTCTTGAGATGTCGGGGGAGAAGGGCATTTCTTGCGTGCATAATATCCTATCACAGTTCCAAAAATAAATAAAATCAAAGCAGTGCAAAACACTTTSAGTATCCGAAAAACGCTGCAGCGGTTGCTCTTTGGCGCCTGTCTGGTGTAGTGGGAGATGTAGTCAGGGTCTTCCTGCAGCCTCTGGAATCTTCCTTTTGGGGAAGAGGAAGGCTGGATGGGCTCCAGGTCGAGCTCAGGGCTCTGGGAGTTGCCCAGGTGGTGCTGGGCTGGGCCATCCAGTCGGAAATGATCAAAACCGGGCTCCTCCAGCTCCTTCTCCATGTCCCATTCCAGGTCCAGCGCCGTGGCCTGGAGCTCATCGTTGTCGAGGTATGGAGAGTGYCCCTGTGCCCTCTGGTCTGCGTTCACTTTGTGATAGGCCATCTTCTTATCTATTAAACAATTAAAAAAAAAACAAAAAAAACAACATAAATATTTGTTTCTATGTGCACACACACACACTATTTATTTATTCTTTGTACACCTGAGAGAATGAAACAGACAATAAAAACCAAAAATTGGGGTCTCATTATTTCACTCTCCCCATTTCCATTGTCCTGCTTTCCTTTGTAGGATCAGCAGGTCCCATGAACACCACCAGAAGAGAAAAAATATTCACGGCAATATATTGTAAGAATATGAATGAAGGAAATTTTAAAGTGCCAGTGGCAAACCACAGAAATAATCCAATTATTTTGTCAGACCTCGAGATAATATTAAAAAATTGAGCGAAGGCTCAGAGTTTCCAAAACAATTATTTGTTACCTAAAAGTAATTTTAAAGCTTAACAACTGTGTGCAACAATTTCATTTCACACTCCCTACAACATAATGTTGCTAAAATAAAGTTGAAAAGCTGGAAATAATATGAATTGCCCGATCTGATTCTAAACACAAGGAAATGATAAATTAAAAAAAAGAAACTTCAGGGTGACACTGTACTTATATATCAATAAAAGACTTCCATTTAGATGGAGCACTCTATTATTTATAGGTATTTTAAATGCATAGTTCCTGAATGACTGATGAATTTACTTAGAAATTGTCCCAGCTGTTTTGCTCCACTTATTTTTCCCATTTTAATGAATCAAAAGCACTGCCAGGTAAGTACTCGTAACAAAATCATTCTTTTAATAGCAAGGCAYAACTGTGGCACTTCTAGATATTTCTGTGCAAGTAGAAGCCCTCTAAAGGGAACTGTGACCTCCAGTACAAACACTCAAAGTCAATTTTCAACAAATCATTTCTGACAGACYGCAACAACAGGGTGCCTCTTCCCCCATACTTTGACAATAGCCATTCCAACACATAAGCATCTGTAATTTAGGGCATTTCTAACATCAAACTCACTTCTCAATTAGAATAAAATGAAGATAAAGATTTGAAAACTCTCATAGTGATGAACACTAGGCTGAAACCTACAACACTACATTATCACTCTGTTTTTTATGTTATAAGGCATTTTCACTCCCCAAGACTCACCTCCAAATAACATTACCACATAATAGAGGAGCCCACTGTAATGGCAAAGTGGAATTCAGCTTTTTGAAGCTCTCTGAAGAGAGCAAACCGCTTGCAAGCTCCCATATAATGAAACAGCCTATTGTCCCCTGAAAGGCTATCTGCCTCTATACAACACCAATTTACAGATCCTATTTTCCCCCTACAGCCATATAAATATCCCTCACCTATAACTGTCAGACAGCCTGGGAACAGCCAGGAGAGCCCTGAGTTCCCAGTCACCATCCCAGCCACTTTGCAAATCAATTCTCCACCTGCAGCCCGAACTCATGGGAGCAACAACGTTCAGAGTGAGCTGCACTAAAGCCTCTTAAATTAGCGTGAAAACCTGCACTGTTTATTTTAAAAARGGATTGCAGATTTAGTCTTTAAATTCCAGTGGAGCCAACAAATGGCTGTGAAGTCAAACAGCTGCAAAGCTGTGGTGGCTGATCTTTGTGACTCTGCCAGCTCAGTTCTCAGGTTTATGAAGGATTCTCTGAACTATGGCACCACCATCCCCACAGCTGAGCATCACCCCCAGATCTCTCAGGGGACCACTCTGCCTCAACATTCAGGTGGTTAAGGAAGATATTTAATCATGTCAGCTCCAGAAATGATGCTTGCTGCACTAAGCTTCCTGCCCAAGCGCCAAATGAACATCAAGCCATGTATTAATATTCTTTGGAAAATTGAGATAACTGATTTTCAAGCTATTTATCTGCCCTTTCACTCTATCTCCTCTTTTGTTAGTGGAAGGATTAATTTGCAAACCATCAGTGACAGAGATGGCTACTAGGTAATATCAACTGCCCAACTACCTCATTTGGCCAACTCTACTTCATATCGCTTTTTATTAGAAATTAAAGACAGGTGTTTTGTCCTTTAAAGCAAAGCAAATCATCACTGCATTTCATAAACACATATCCGGATCTAGAATTCCTGAGATCATTTAACAAACTGTTAAATAAGTCAAATAAGTAAACCCTTGGCAGATTACCACAGTGCTAGCCACAAACCAGAATTAAGGCAGTTTTTCAGATGCRGTTTCATGGCAAATATTAATCTTGCTGAGTTTATAAATGTCGATCATTGCCTAACTGTGGTTTAGTTTTCTCTGTATTTATGGCATTAAAAAAGTGTGTTATTGTTCAATGAAGGTTATTTATAAAGGTTATTTAAATCTACATATAAATGCATAATAAAAATTCATATGAAATTTCTTKCAATGGTTATTAATGCTGATGATTAGGAACCCCATTCTACAGCTTAGCTTCTCAGCAATTCAATTTTCATTCAAAACACCAAAACCAGTTACCTCGCTTCATAAAAAAAAAACCCAAACCCAACCAACAAACAAGCAAGCAGCTAAATGAACTAAAATAAAAAATCAATATTCAATTCAGGTTCATATTTGAGGCCAGTCTTTGGAGTGTGGGATCTTATTAGCAACGCATGTCCTTTAGTTAAAGAATGCAAAGAATACAAGAACAGCTGCAGTTGTTAACTTTACTTTTTCCACTGATATTTCTAAGCTTATTGTTTGAGTCTAAGGACATAGCACAACTTACCTTGAAGAATCTGAGATCAGAGCCTGCACTGCATTTAACCATTCAAAAAGTGATTTTAGAGAGGGTTCTCCTGGTTCTCAGGGCACAGATCATTTGTGCCATGCAATCTGTATCACCTATTTAGTATTTGGTATTTAGCTGGTTAAGGAAGTAGGCAYGACTTAAAGACTATGTATTAAATGTAGTTTTGGCTGGGAACTGGAAGGAGAAAGAAAACATTAAGAGTTCACAAAAATGTGAATTGAAAAAGAAAATAGAAATACAGAAAAAAATTCAAGACAAGAAAAAGCACTACAATACTCTAGCTCAGTCTTCTCTRTAACACAGACCATAAAATGAACATATTTTTGAGAGACATTTTTGAAAACTTCAGGAGATAGGAAACTCACCCCATCTGCCAGCAAGCTGTTTCAACATTTAATTGTTGTTAAATACATGTTTTATTATAAAGATAAAAGAGCAACTGCAAAATGCCAGAAGTCTGAATATGCACCAAGCGAGCTTTAAAGCCTCTCTATAGGGACAGCAAAGGGGATCATAAACTCTGGAATACTGGACAGAGCCAAGCTGATGACCAATAAAGCTGATGTACATTTCCATACTTCCAGTGATTTGTGGGGAGAATGTTTATAGAGAGGTTTCAAACCAAAGCTAAATATCCTTTCAATTTACTGTACACAAGAAATCAGGAGAGTCAGCTTTATCAGATCGTTATTGCCTTAACGAGCTCATTTCAAAACTCTCTGCCTGTGCTTTGACCTTAAAAGCAACACATTTACATCCTGCCTGATAGAAACATCTTCTTAGGGAACCACCAGAAACTTTTTTTTTTTTTGACAACTCTCCATGCTTCAATCCTTTACCAACAAAACTTTTGAAAACTCCAGAATATGGCCCTGCATCAGCACCGCTGCCACCCCCAATACCTCCAGAACAGAAAGATCAGYTTGCATGAACGTTTTACGAAACCAGCAAGGAAAAAGCACTGTGAATACACTGCTGTAAATTCTCTGGGACTGGTGCTGCAGTTGTTAATGCAGCTCATAAACAGCTGAGACAATGAGAAGGCTTTTACACAGCGGGAAGTGTGGCAAGTGTTAACAGGSTGCCCACAGTGAGTCCTTCTCAGGACACTCAGTGCCCAGTGCTGAAGAGGCAAACTTCACCCAGGRATTGTACTAAAACCATTGTGGCCTCTTTGTACAACCCACAAATCCGGGGCTGTTCACTCATCTCATTTTGAAGGCGTCTTCAATTTTAATTTTTGTCTCAGTATCTTCTGTACACAGTGCTTTTCCTTCAAGCCCCTGCAGTCTTTTYCTGCCTWKCAAAGCCCCCAGAGCAGATGTAAARTCMCCTCTTTAAAGGRMARTGGCTGTGCTTGCCAYGGAACTCAACACCCGCTGCACTCCRAGGCTTTAAAGGATGTATGAMAACAAATTAGKGCTTTGTTAAACGAGATGATGCCAAGTTTCAGGCCTAGACAAACTTCTTCAGAGTTATAAATCCCTGACAAAACTTGTTTGCAGAGGAGATTATGATGCCCTTGTCAACAGCAATGTTCCACTACCCTGTAATTCGAAAAAAATAATGKGATATTTCCATCACCACTGCCTTAATTTTGTGCAATAATGATTTCTCCCCTCACATTTGGGATGTGGGCTTGGCAAGCAGTTCAGTTACAGCAGGACAATTAAGTACCTTGTCACTCCACACAGCTACCAGATAAAAACAAACGACAAAACTCACCAGTTGTTCACATTTCACTGAAGATAAATGCAACCTGAAAGACTGAGCAGTGTTGTAGCAGGAGACAGAACAGAGAGATCAGACTGGGGAAAGAAGGTCGGTAAAACACAGCTAAATTCATTAATGAGTCCTTTTTGGCACAGATGAACGACAGAGAGTATTTAACTTTTTCATCATCTCTCATGGATTTTATTATATCAAGAAYACCCATGTGGACCAGGGTATCATTAATATCAACACAAAGAATGAACACGTGAGAAGAGCAGGGGCTGTGAGCACCTTGATTGATAAGACTTGTGCACGATGATGTCCAGCTGGAAAAAGAGTTAACCTAGGATAAAATGGCACCAGATGTGCACACGGATGTATTTCCCTGCTGGCTTTTCAGAACCTCTGATTTCCTGGGGCTTGGAGAAAGAATGCAGGGAACTYCTTCATGCCCAGCAGACAACTACCATGTACCAACAGAGCAGCCTCAGCTGCTCTCTAACATGCTGGGCATGCATTACTAACACAGATCCTTCTCATCCTCACACACGTTCCGTTTGTAAAGACCTATTTGCCTGAAACAAA